ATAAGGGCCACAACATCTTGGTCTTCATATCTAAGTTTTTATGAGATGTATTCATCCTATTTCGTTTAGGCGATTGACGACTGGTAGTAGAATTTTCCCGCAATGACATGAGCAGCGCTGACGTTTCCATTAAATTTCACAGAGCCTTGCTTTCCCTAAAGTTGTTGCCATCCAGGTTGGACTGCAGTTTCGACCTCGCATAGGTCTTATCAACACCCCCAGCGGGATTCGAGTGGTTAACGTGTCGAGCTCACATTCTGCACTTTCACGATTAGACTTCTGGTTGGGTCGAAACTGCAGTCCAAGCTGGATGAGAACAACTTTTGGGAAAGCAAGGCTCTGTAAAATTCAATGGAAACGTCAGCTCTACTCATATCATTGTGAGAAAATTCTACCAGCAGTCACCTCAAACGAACTAGGGTGAATACATCTCACATAACTGATTTACTGGTAGTCTCGAAACTTTACTTATACGAAGAATGAATTTTTATTAGTTTATCTGTCAGCTTTAAACGGTAGCAGTCTTCTTCGCTCAGTCTCACTTGAATTATAGGTGGGTTCTACAAGCAAATTGTCTATTTCTCTAAAGCACTCAGATTCGTTCACTCATATGCTGGACACTCATTGTGATGGGAATATTCAAGTTAAATCTTGTTCTGCTGCAAATTTAGCCAATCCAACTTCCAGTAACCCAGCAGACTGAGCATCTAACCACATCTGAGTCAGACCAATCAAATCATTTTCCCTTAACCGATTTGCCACACCTCTCGTCCACCCCTATAGGCATCAGCCGATCACTAGCAGACCTGCCTGACGACGCATCTGAGGCTCTTGTTCGACTCTCCCAGCTTCAGCTCAGCCTCCGACTGATCAAACACTCGACGGCCCTTCAAGTGGTCGATTTGATGACGCCAGACATTGTCTCATCTTCGGTCGACTGGTCTCCTTGGCTCTACAGGCTTACTGCTCAGTTGACCCGAATACAGACGGCCTGGCAGCGAGCCGAAACCTCATGCCGCGTCAGTCTGCTGGCCGAGACTGTGAAGATCTGGCGAGGCTGGTGCGAGCAGATCGAGACTGAAACGAAGCCGGAGACCGGGTCTGGAGATGGGTGCGGCACCGAGTGCGAGTCGGAGGGATTCGGTGAAAGGTAAGTGAGACATAAAAGAACGACATAGATGGATAGATAAAGGCAGAGACAGAAACAGAGACGGACAGTGAGACAGAGAGAGAGAGAGGCGAAAGGGTTCATCAGTTCATGCTGTTAACTGGACTCCGGCACATGGTACCCCGTGACAGCACCAGCCAGTCTCACGCAACTTGCTTGCCTCGGTCACTTGGGCGAGTCTCGTTTGGTCGAAAAATTTACTTCTCCGAGTCAGTAGGCTTAGACGAAATCCCTTGGCCAGGCTGAAACTGCAGTCTAGGACGGCGATGAAAGCCTAAAGGAAATTCTTAAAATTTCATTTGTGGAAATTTTATTGTCAGTCTTTGGATCGCATTAAACGACCTAGCGAGGCGTTGGGCTAATAAGTGATAAATCAGTCCTGGTGGCAGGTCATCAGGGCGCAGAGCAAGAGAGACAAAAACTTCAGAAACTGCGGCACGGCTTTGCCTGAACTTTTTTCCCCAATTCAAGCCTGTACCTGTGCCTAAAGGGGACAGGACTTTCTTTTGGTGCGCCGGTTTCGGCAACTCGATGAACTCCATTCTCATTCTTTGC